CATATCCGAGTTTCTACAATATCAGCTCATTGTTGACTTTCTTTTTTGTTGTCTAAAATTAGAAAATGGCATTATAGAAATCGATTATCATTTATTGATTCATACTCGTAGAAAAAATTTTACGATTAAAGTAGTTGTCATGTAAGTATAATGATGATGTTTTGTACTACACTAAAGATTGATATATGAATTGATATACATAGATAGTCGAACAGTGACCTCTGCAGCAATGTTCAATTGCTTGTAGACAGAATTTAACAAAACTACTTCAACTTGAAGAAGTTTTATAAATTGACAAGTGATTGTGAAATTAAATAATAATCGATCTCAAGGTTTAATTTGATATTCAACTGTTAAAACATGAAGCTTTATTTACTTGCATCTGTTTCTGCGGAGATCACATTTTGTTTGACTTGACACAATTTTTGTAACACTAACTCAAATATTAGTATACTTCAATACTTGTTTTAGATCCTGTTGCATAATATATATAAATCAGAAGATTATCGTTACTTATCCGATTTTACCTATAAAATTCTATTTCACAATTTTTTTTTCTTTTTGATTACAAAATTGATTCGTATCTCGTTTCTGTTTGATTGAATATGAACCTAAATTGCAAATTTGAAATTCATGATAAAATGCATAAAACTGCACTAATATGATTCGAACCATACTAAAAACGTCGGCAGATCGTTCAATATAATGTGTACTATATCCGCAATCAATCAACATTCATTTAATACTTGAAAGGTTGGCTATCCTCTGGCTACAATTCTATCGCAGTATACCGATAGTTGCTCCTGAACCGGCAATCTGCTACTTTTTTTGGTTGAATCGTTTCAATTGCTTTCTAAGCATGATAGATTCCAGAGTACGACTTTGAGTAAAAAGTAATACAATAGTCTATCAAGACATTCAAGTTGTATATACTAATTACTTCATATTGAAATCCTTGATTGAATCCTTTTAATGAATAGTTTTTCTAACCTAGACAATTCCATTTCTTTTCGTTCGTCCTGCTTAGTCTATTGTCAATATCATGCTTTTAGAATCGGAAAAAAAACAATCTACAGATTTACTCGCTGGCCTCTATTAGTAGTATTGAATATCTTTCAAATCGATTTACACTTTCAGCATACATATCTTAAGATTGTTCAAGTAGTAATGAGTTCTTGTAACATAAGAGCAATCTCTTGAATTTTATAGACTCATAGTTTCAGTATACTGTTATCAAACTACTGCTTGTTTTCATTCGTTTTTCATCTTTGAAACATAAACATGATTAAAAATGCGAATCATTGATAATAAAATTGCATGAATACAATAAATAATAATAAATGTAGATAGGAACACATCAATTCATATAATATTATCTAACAATTTTTTTCAAGAATAGTGAGCTTGTCTATATTTTGATTATTTCTCTCTTAGTATTCGTTGATTGAGATTGCGTTTTATAGTATAATTGTTTTATTCATGTGAATAATATCTATGATTGTAACGGTCACGATTGAAATGTACATTCAAAAATAACAACTTTTTTTCAATTCGCCTGGGTGTATGTTTCAAGTGTTTAATTAAAGTTGTATGTATATGTTGATAAATTGTAATTTTGATTATTGATGAATACTGATTTTTTCACTATGCAGTTGAAGTTTCTTAGATAAATAACAAAAAATAAAAAAAAACGGATGATATTTTTCTTTTAAAGAACATCTATTAAAAATCAATAAACATAATATTTTGAAATAATTGTCTATAATAGCTTGTCATTTACAATGTTCTAGTGAGTTACTGAAATTTAACCAAGAAAGAAAATGTACCAAAAGTGTAAATATTGAGACCTGATGCTATCATATTTTGTCCTCAGATTTTCGTTGCGCACAATATTTCAATTCATTTAATTCATTTATTATTACCATGCATTCTAAGTACAAATGATGTCGTTGTCGAAGAGTACTCAACCATTTCATGCAGGTTTTTTTTCTGTATCTTGGTTTCTTGACAGCAACTATTGATTATAAACTTCGCCCTTTGACTTAATTCCTCTTACAAAGTTTCACATTATATAAATTCGTTGATTTTTGCAAGAAAATCACAATCAGTTTCTCATCGATACAACAGAGGTAGGTGATTCTTCATATACATATATTTGATCAAATATCATTTTTTTTTTCGATATTTTATTAGAGCATCCAAAGTTTCACTTCATTTCGATAACTAATAAAATACTTAGCAATAATCATGGTGAGTTTATTATCTTTTTATATGTATTCGTATTTGTAACTTTTTTTTATCTAGGTCTTTCAATCTCCTTACTATTCGTCATATGCAGCACCAACATCAAGCTGCTCAGGTTGCACATTTTCTCAATCATCAATGGTTTCTCAACCAACGTTTTATCCATCAATGGGTTATTATCGAAGTACTTATTAATCAATGTTCAATGGGTTTTTTATTGCTCCGTCTAACATATTACATTATTACAAAAATTTCAAATAAGTATTATTCACGAATGTGACTAAAATTGTTTTTGTTTATTTTTTTCAAATAAAAATTTGAAAAAAAATTTAAACATTATCTTTCATTTATGCATCATTGCTTTGAATATATTTTATCTCAAATCAACATGAAGATGAAACGATATCTTATGTATAACAATAATTACACATTTTCTAGCTTATTTTGTTGGTAAGAGCAGTCTCTTGTCTTTTATCACTATCTCTTTGAGGTTTATTCCCTTTTTATATTACTTGAAAAAGTGATTCATAGTGAAAGAATGAAAAAAAAATAGGCTCGTGCTTATTTATCAATATCACTGCAATCAACCATAAAGAAAATTATCTTTGTTATGCAATCTGTTGATTACCTGCGGTCAATCACCTGTCTTTTACCTGATTTGTTTTTATATTGATTCAGATGGTAATCTTAGTGTTATGATGGAACTTGCTATCAAATGTGGATAATGAATGAAAATAAAACATATTTTGAAATAATTATTTCTTTTACATGCTATATTCTTGTGTGCTTTCAATCGAATTTCTTTCAATAAATAAAATAGATCTTTTTAGAAATTAATTAGAGAGAAACGGGAGAGAGCGAATTCGATATTTTCTGATCATAATACATGAATTTTCGATCAATAGTGAAATTAGTTATTGATTCGATTGAAGAAAGGAATCTAAGAAAATTCTTAATAATCAATCATTATTCTAGATGGAAAATATTGTCTATTCTGTTTTTTTTCATTTGACTTGACGTCAATAACGAAGCAAAATACGTACATGCGTTTGCTTTTTGTTGATAACTTATTTCAAATTTCAAAAATATCTTCATTTTATGAATTAAAACAATATATGTTAACTACTAAGAATCTTATTTCCATAAGTCAATTGATTAATTGTTCATTAATAATTTAATCTTATATTGATTTTCTATACCTCTCGTAATTGAATATTTTGTACGTAAATAAATTGGAATCATAAGACAAGTTCATGATTTTCATGCTGTCTGTTTTCATTTTCAATTCAAAATGTTAATGATTGAAGATTAGACATTAGTTCGATTTTCAACTTCAATCAAAAGACTTTCATATTGAAGTTCAAGCAATGAACTGCCTAGTGCACCACAATTTATATTATCAAAAAATTGAGTGAAAATTCGCTTTCTAGGTAAAAAAAATTC